AAATGTGATGTTGACATGTGATTTTGATATGAAATTCACATTTGTGTATTCTGGTTGGGAAGGTACTGCTAATGATTCACGAGTATTTGTTGACGCTGTCACAAGGAGCTCAAACAATTTTCCAATGCCACGAGGAGGTATATTCTTATACTTCAAATAATTATTGCGAATTTATTTACAGTCACACTATGTAAGCCTTTTTTTCATTTTGCAGATCAATTTTACCTTGTTGATTCTGGATATCCAAATATGCCTGGATTTCTTGCCCCTTATCGAGGTCAAAGATATCATCTGCGTGACTATGTTGGACGGGGAAGATTACGTGGGAAGGAAGAATTGTTCAACTATAGACACTCATCGTGCCGTAACATTATTGAACGTTGCATTGGAGTTTTAAAGGCAAGATTTCCTATTTTGAAGTTGATTACCAACTATTTACTTAGTAGGCAAAGACAAATTCCTACTGCATGTTGCGCAATAAACAACTTTATTCGTTAGGAGCACGCTTTAGATAAGTTGTTCGTACAGTATTCGGAGGAGAATATGGCGTTTCAAGATATCCCGGAGTCAAGTCAAGATCAAGAAGTCATAAATTTTGATGCTAGTCAAACAGCTCAAATGGGACAAGTTAGGGATCAAATTGCTACACAAATGTGGAATGGCTATTCAAGACGTCGTATATGATTTCGTGGATGTAGTTTATATTTTGTTAGTGTCTACTTGTTTTGTAATGACACATAAACTTCAAAAAATATCTATTGAATTATTCGTATTCAGGATTTTGAATTATTCTAGTGCTTTCTCATGATTTGAACTGTGTTAAATGTTGTCTTCTGGTAAACAAGTGAATTATTTTGAAAGAGTGCATATTCGGGAAAGCTTAAAGTAAATTGTTGGGCTAAAATTGAAGTTGGTTACTAGTTTAAAATGGAAATAAAATTCAACGGCTAACATGAATTAATTACATAAAGTTCAACTAATACTATATTTAATATTATATTAGCATTAAACTATTCACATTTGTTGAATAATCAGATTTTTTGAATAAAATATTATTAAAAAAAATTTCTCAAAATTTCAAAGCAAACGCGTTTTTTAGTTTTATGTTTTCAGAAACTGTTTTCCAAAATGACAAAGAGAACGTATTTTCAGCAATTTCAAAACAGGCACTCAAAACACAAAACTCAAAATGATTTCAAAACTCAAAACACAAAACCGAAACACAAAGAGAACAGGCCCTTAAGTTTTAGACAGAGCACTCCAAGTTCAATGAAATCGGTGAAATAAAAATCATATGAAAATCTTCCAACCATTGTCCTTAGTCAATAGTATTTTTTCTTCAAATTTGTGGATGACCTTTACTACTTTGTGTCATCAGTGACACTAAATTCAATTATTCACCAATTATGAGTGTGGAATAAGCACAACCAATCCTATATTTAAAAGTATACACAGATAAGATTAGATGAGTATGATATAATTAGAACCCCGTCGCATGAAGAACATGAACGAAACTTATTCCCTAATCATGTTTCTCAGAAAAAAAATCATGCAAAGATCAAAACATACCATTTCAAGTTCTTGAGCCATCAAAATACAAGGACCACACCATGTCGCGTAGAAATCAATTATCAATGGTACATTTCTCTCTCCCTTCACCAGGTCTTGTACTTCTTGTGCAGACAACTTTTCCTGCCAGGTCAAATAATGATAGAAAAATGTGAATCAAACATTTCAGCAAGCAACAAAAATGCCCAACACCCAAATAATTTTTTCCTCTTCTCTTTTATATAATTGTCCAGAAAATAAACTACCAGTCGCCAATTCTATGAAGCTACAGAAATTAGCTATCCAATTAGTTTTTTAATTGACGAATAAATCAAATCCCAGAACTAAAATGAAGAGAACTTTCCATAAACTAGTTAACTTTGTAATGGGCATTTTACAAGTAAAAGTTTATGTATGCAAAATAAATACCACAAGATAGTCTTCTCTGACATATTTCCCAGAAGGGGGTTTGCAGAGCAGTTTTCTTGATGGTGCGTGAATTGATAAGTGAGGGAGTGCTCTCTCGCTAATGGTGGAGGTCAAGAATAGAGTATTTGGTTGATGGGTTTTCAAGGAAAAGGAAGAGGTGCAAATGGGCAGTGCTGGGAGCGAAGCGTGGAACGAGAATATGGAAGCTTGCATTATACTTCTTGTCTGATGCTGTGGCCCCTGTGTGTGTGAGAGAGAGGGAGAGTTTGCAGGGGTTTATGGTGGTTTTTGCCTGAGAAGAAAATGTAGCAGATAATTTGAGGAACAACAATAGGTCCTGTTTGCCTACTGGCATATTGTATAATTCTCCATAATTATATTTAGTAGTTGTTTGAAAAATCAAAATTAACGAAGTGTGCGTGTGAAAAATTGATAAAAATTGTCAGTCTTGAAAAATATTTTGTTAAAATTAAAGTTTGACAGATTAAAAAGTTAATAAAATTTCCTCAAACAAAGACACCATTTGGTTGGGTTTCAATTCCATGGAAAATGGAATTTCAATTCCATATTTTCCTTTTTTTGTTGTATGATAGGTTTTAGGCATTGTCTAGCTGTGATTTTTCAATGGATTTTCAGTCATTTTCTTACTGTTGAGTCCAACTGCGGATCCCACCAAAGAAAGAATCAGTCAAAAATTACAATCACAACGATAGAAAAATTCATTCTTTTTAACCAATAATCTGCACTAGACAGGACCTTATTTTTCTTAGAATTCAAATTCTTTGTCTATCTTGGAATCTAAATTTTTCCACGAAGTCAAGGAATTCCAATTCTCATCATAGCATTTTTTTTTTCTGATTTTTTTATTATTTTATTTTATTTTTGGTAATAGAAATAAATTTTAAGAATTATTGTAAAAAATATTCCATTTTAATTGACAATTTTCGTGTAAAACAAAGTCAAACAAACACAAAAAATAGATAATTTTCTTTAAAAAAAATTGGCAATGGAAATAAATTTTATCCCCAATACTAGTAAATTCTATCCCTTTAATTGACAATTTCACTTAAAACAAAACCAAACGAACACCAAAAAAATACTTTTATTTCAATATTTTCCACATGAAAAATTATACCAATTAAACACAATAATTTACAATTCTCAGAAAAATAATTTTTTGGCAATTCAATTCCCTAGAATTTGTTTTCTAGGCAATTCAATTCCATTTTTGCAATCAAACGGACCCAATTGAAGTTGAAAAGTCAATTATTCTAATTACATTATTACATATTATGAATAAATAAGAGTGTGATTGATTGGTATGAAAAAATCACCTAAAAAAAATGTTTTTCATCTTTTATGGAAAATAAAAATCACATCTACCCAAGAAAAATATTTTTATTAAAAACAAGGAAAATTAGGTATATTTTCAAAAGTTGGAAAATATTTTCCATGAAAAAAATAGTAATCAAACACCCTCAGTAGGAATCTGGGTGGAAAACTAATATTTTTTATAGAAAATAAATGTAATCAAACACACCCTAAGAGTTTTCTCAGAGTAAAATTGCCCCTTTTTTAAAAACACCAAAAGTATGTAACATTACGGTGTTATTTGATAAAATTTTAGTAGAAAATATGGTTAAAATTGATAAAAATTATTGGTCTGATGAATGTATCATCAAAATTGAAGTTTGATCAATGAAAAATTAATAAAATTTTAACAAAGTTTTATCAAACAGATCCTAAATAGATTAGGTTTGTCTAGTGTAAACATAAATTTGTAAATTCTTTTTTCTTATAATTACACCATATGTGTTTGTGTTTCATTATAAGTAACTTATAAGAAGATTATAATGAGAAAGGTAATGAGTTCCACGAGATATGTGGTGTATATAATAAATGGATAATAGTTGTAAACGTGTGATTAAAGTTAAAGTTTGATTGAAAATTACAGATTGAAAAAATATATATATAAATAATAAGAAATTATTTTCAAGCATTGGGACAAAACCCTTTTTACTACAATCTTTTAATAACATGGCCACTATTTCTTTGGTGGTGATATGGTAGAGCTGCTACGGTCCATTGATTGATAAAACAGTGAAGATAATGACTCGATTGTGTCAAAAGGCTCAATAAATTAGAATTTCTTTATTTGTCATAGCAAAAATTAGTGAATTCATTCATAACAAAAGAAAGAAATGAGAGAAGAATAGTTAATGAAGATTTAACCATAAATATTTCTTGAGGAATTATACAATCTACATTCGAAATGCTTGTGCATGTTATAAAAAATTATTTTCCGTTCATATTAATTATGAATTATCAGTAGAGTAATTTAAAGAATAAATCATTTAATTATTTAAAATACAACATGTTAAAAGTCAAATATGAGAAATATAGGGAAATTTTGTTATGAAAATAATAAGTGTAATCATAATTTATTAATATCCTAGTACATGAAAATTATAATTTCAAAATAATTTAAATTAAAAATCGGACGTTTAGCAATCTAAATTACAATCAAGTGTGATTAATAGGAGGGTGAATTGGGGGCAAATGGTACTATAAAACAAAAGTTTGAAATGTAAGATCATTAAATTCATGTGAACACGTTTCATTGTTTCATCGCTGTTTTTTTTTTTTTTGGTTTGGATGTCCGAGTTTCGCTCGACTAATCCTGAGCAGTGATAGTTTCTCTTTGATTTGCCACTTTGGTGAATCCAAATGCGATCATAGTTTATATACACTTGGGCTGGATATTTGGGATGCGGTGGTTCCCTTTGTGGACCTCCCTTTACGATGTGCGGACATGACTCTCGAAAGGGCAACAAAACGCACTATAACTTTGCCTCCATATAACATCTGCCTTCAAACATAAATGTTACCTTCCAGTTGTCGCGACTATTCAAACCTCGTATACTCCGTATGGAATACTCTCGCTTTACCATTGCACCATGCTTTTGGGGATAGTTTCACCGTATTTTAATTTCACTTAAGGTCATCAATCTTTGTTTATTTGAACATTTGTATTCCTAACTTTTTTCATCAAATTCTTATTTCAACCTTCCATTAATAAGCAAATTTTGTCTTTGATGATAATTTCTAATAGGTTAGGGTCATAAGTACCATATTAAGTAAAGATTGAGAATCTTAAATGAAATTAAAATATAGTTGCAACTAATGAAAACTGTGGTATGAATACAATTACACACAAGTGAATGGAACCCTTCTTTGATCAATTTTTTAACAAAAGTTATTCAATAATATAGTATAGTAGAAAATCTTGAGATATTTAAAAATCTAGAGGAATTTACCATGGATTCCTCCCCTTTACTAGGAAGTATGTCAGGATTTAAGCCCTATCTTACATGTCATTGCTCTGGAAAAAAAATAAGTACGGCATCTCAAATATATGCCACTATGCAAACAGAAAAGTGAGATCAAATTTTCAAGCGAAGTAGGAAAGATATCACTACTTATATAAAAAGGGCAATGTGTTATTACTGTAGAAAGAACAATAGATTCTTCCATTTCTACCACTGTAGCAACTTTTTTTTTCCTAGAGTAAAAATGACGCCGTCTGCCAATTTTTTTTATTTTTTACATGTCTGCAGTGATGTACCGACTTTAGATATATATTTTTTTCTTCTTTTCCATTTTCACACGCTACTCCTTTTTCTCTTTGAGTTTCATTGGTTCATTTCTTTTCTCCATATATGTATGATATTTCTGTTTCTATTATATTTGAAATATCTGTATTTTGTGCTTCAATCATTGCGCTTATATTGTATTTGTTCTCTTTGTTTGTTCAATCGTTGACTCATGTTCTTTTGGCCTTATTTTAGTTTGCAAGTAGTGGTGGAGAATGTTTTCAACTTCTCTTTAGTTTGTGGTAGCAGTAATATCTAGAGTTTTTCATTTTTCTTGTATAGCGATGATTAATGAGGGGGAAATCTACTTTCATATGATTTAATTTTTCATTTTTCTTGTATAGTGTTGAACTTCGATGTTGATGTTGAAGTTGATTTGTTGTACACAAACTCTGGAGTAAACTGGTAAATAAGAGAGTAAATAGAATTGGGCGTGGAAATAACAGAATAGAAATACATGAAAATAATTAGAAGAAAGTAAAGAGGTCTCATAGACGTGTCAAACTTCCACCAACATGGTCTTTTTTGTAGACGATGAACGTTGGGGGTTCACTGTTCAAAAGTTCGAAAACACATTTATCGCCCATTTATAGTTCTTTTTCTCTAAAAAAATCTGCCCAACCTATAGTTATACGTCTTATTAGACTATTTGGTCACAAATTTGTGGCGAGCTCCTAGTCATGATGTAAAAAATCATGGATTTGAATATTTCGCAGACCTCTTGGTTGGTGATATCTAGAGAACTGTCCTGGTATATCCTGGAAGACCATGATTTAATAAATTATTGATCTTTGAATCAAATTGTGGAAGAGATGAATGTAGAATGAGATATTAAAGATGACACTTACAATTTCCCGATGGCTGTTGTGATGAGGTGTTAGTGTTATTTCAAATGCAGGGTTATCTGTATGTGAAACGTTGTATTCTTCGGGAATATCAGAGTCATATGTGACCTCTAATCCAGAATGGTCATATTGAATGTGGAGTTCCCGTTATATTCAAATACCAAAACATGAGCATCCTCTAAGTTATGATGGTCAAAAATTTGTTCCCATCCATCGGCAAAATATATTCTTCCATTATCTCTTTCCAATCGTATTTTGACAATTATACCATCATATGAGGTTACTCGTACTGTGTCACCAAGTTGGTGTCTCCAATCGTTGACAAAGAATCTGGGAAGCATCTATACATATATATTAAAAAAAGTATAAGAGAGATATTAAGAATGCATCCATTCAAATGTGAGAGGAGAAACTCTTGTGTGACTAACCAGACAGGTATTATGGTTTTGTGGAGGAGTAATGATTCTGAAAAAACGATGTGGCACCTCCATTCTGTCTCAATATAGTACAATGAAAATTTTGTTAGAATAAATCTATTATTTACGTTGTGGAGGCCCTAATATAGATTTTACAGTATAGGCGAGTTAAAAAGTTTGTTAATGGAAGTTCCATGTTTATAAGATAAACTTTGTATGTGATCTAAAAAAAAATTCTATATGTTGTTGTAGAACAATATCATGAAGTTTGGTAAGAAATTCATGATTTGTTTTCGATTTTTAATAAAAGAATTGAAGATTGACATTTAGTCCATCTCAATAAACAAGATGTAAGTTAAAACTGTAAAATTTAGTGTTGAAAAAATAGCTATGGTAATCAAGAAAGAGTAGATAGACACCTGATTTTCTTTTTGTTGA